ATAGCTAAGTAATCATATAAAAATTGAAACAAGTTTTTTTTTCAAATCATCACTCCCTTTCCGTAACTAGAATGCTGAGATGAACATTTGTTTTACGATCTACAATAACGATTGTTTTCCAAACTGAATTTTTTTGGTCCTAGTTGCAAGATTTTGTAAAAAGGTCCATAATTATAGATATCCATAAATAACAGAATATGTATATGATTATTGATTAATTCCTGTTGCTATAGAAAGTCTCCTCAGAGGGTAAGAGTTGTTTTAAAGCCTTACCTGTAGACAGCTCAAAGTTGTAAACAAATATCTCATGGGTATATCTGACGTCATGCTAATAACTGCAGTGTTCTTTTTCTGCCGTGGCATTTTGCACTTCTTGTGTGGTAGATTTGTTTATGTTTTCCATAAAAATTATATGGGAAAGGGGTTAAAGGCCTATGTAACGTTAGGCTTGAAACAAATACAAATACATGCAAGTATATAAAGCCAACGTACGCAATGACGTTACTGACGGAAGGCCACGGGAAATTTTGAATTATAAAGAAATGACGAGGGATGCCCCTCCGAAGTGGCGGCCACTTTGGCAATGTAAAATCCCCGTAGACTTTGAATTTACCGCCATGTGTAAACACTGGTTGACCTCAAAGGTTGGTTTAAAAGGAAGTTTGAGAAAACTTCACTCGATCGATTTTGAACCTAATGTTGAATGCAAAGGAATTTACTTATTTTGAGATATCTTTTAAAAAGTAGTGACGTTCCAGTAGTGAGATAGACTATAAGTAGATCTACGAAGGTTGTCCCAAAATTCCGTAAAATGGACATGCTAGTTTAAAAAATATTCTGTGCAATTTTGTTTAACTTCTGTATTTTCTTCATAACGCTTTTGTTGATTGATGCCTGAAATTTCAAAGGCGTAATTAATTTATTTTTTGAGGAAAACAAAATTTAGTACCTTTGTTGGGCCGGGCGGAGCAATATCAGCGTCGTCAAAAAGTAAAAAGAAATTCAAGCCACTATGCATCATAACAAATTCTTAACGTCTTGTTTGATAGTCAAAAAGTCTTGTGGAATAAAATCCTTTCCTTCTGTTTCAAATGCATTTGCACTACAATTTTATACATTAACAAACAAAGCTGTAAAATATAATTTAAAACGATATATAATTCAGAGAAAAGGACCCAAAAAACAACAACATCGTTTTCTGGAGCTCTTAGGCTAGAAGTTATACCAGCACACCTCCTTCTTTCTCAATATATTCGCCTTTATGTTCAATACATTTCTTATGCCTATCAAATCCACTTTTCAAAACATATTGTTGGACCATGTGTTGTCGAGCCAAGCGAGGATCCTCAATGTTTCCTTCAGCTCGTCTAATTCTGAGAATCGATGGCGTCACAGCTCAGCCTTTAAGTAAGGGAAAAGCACAAAATCTATCGGTACTAAGTCTGGACTGTATAGTGGGTGGCTGATTTTGTCAAATCCAAGTAAGTCAAGTTCCAACTTTATTTGATCAGCTGTGTGGCTTGGTGCATTATCCTGATGGTAAATAGCATTTTCCCTATTTTCGGCTAAATCAGACCTCTTTTCCCTCGATGCATGCATAAGATCCCGTCGCACAGCCTTGTAATTAGTAAGCTGCATTGACCGTCCGACCAGCAGGGACAGCATGTGTAAGAATCATGCCCTGTTTGAACATAAACTTGTGCTTACCGACTGATTTGGAAACCTTTGCCTTCTTTGGTGGTAGGGTTGTTCCAGATGTTTTCCATTCTCTAGAATCTCTCTTTCGGGATCAAAGTAATGCAGCCAGGTTTCATCTGTTGCTATTATTCTACCAGAAAAACTGAGTAGACCAGATCGGTGTCGCCGCAGCAATTCCCAGGAACCTGAAATTCTCTTTTGTTTTTCTTTATGTTTCAGGATACGTGGTACCCAGCGTGCACATACCCTCTGCATCCCTAATTATTCCGAATGTATTCTGTGAACGGATGATTTACGATTCCTAGGCATGTCTTTCATCTCTCTAACGGTCCGCCGTGATGTCGATTTTTTCACTTATTTCTTTGGATCGGCTTCTTTTCTGTCTTGCTGTCCTCATATCAGTCCGAGTATCTCTTATGACATTTAAACATCAAAAGCACGAGACACATTTCTGTTTGTTTCTGATAACTTTAGCTTTTTATGGATCTCTGTAGGTGTCAATCCCAGCTTTAAGCAGAACTTCATAACTTCCCGGTGCGGTATTTTGAGAAATAATCTATTTTGCTTTAGATTGAAAAAAAGACATAACAGCAGAGCGTGAGAAGTGGTTGTTCTCTCTAAAGAGAGTAGACCACCAAAAAGTGTGCTAAAGCCTTCTAGTCTCATAAAGCTCCTCTCCTGAGAAGAATTTCTCTCAAGATGAATGATAAATTCTCGAATGGGACTTAAAACAACATAAAAACGTAAAATCAATCATTTTATACAATGAAACCTGTCTAATGCGACATGCACTGGGAGACAAATTTTGTGTCGGAATAGACAGGGTGTCGGATTGCACAGTGTAAAAAACATGGAAAATTGCATAATGGGAACGAAATCTAACGTCGGAATACGGAACTTTCGAGTTACGGATCCGCTTCGAATATTATCGCTTAACAGACGTAATTGTAGGGCATAATTCACTTCCGCATTTCAACGCAACGTATAAACAAAGATGGAAGACTTCAATAGTTATCAAGTCCCAGCGTTAAAGCATTACTTAAGTCCGAAAGGTATAACAACATCCATGTACAGAAAAGCTAATTTGATAAAACTGTGTGAATTGGCAAGAGAAATAGATCTAGAAGATATAGAAACAAAAGATGATTATATGAATATGGATGTTCGTCGTAGAACTGTCGCAGACCGGATGTTACCAAGCATAAGCGAGGTACAGTTTTATTTTGGAAAAAAAATCATAATAATCTCATAAATATCTTATACAATAATAAGTAAATTAAATGAATATGAGTTTACTCAGAACTGAAGCTGTAGCAGAGAGAGAGAAAGAGATAGCATCAACGTTACCAGTTGTCACACCATCAAATATATGAGATTTTATAATATCCAGAATTTTATTTGGAGTTTTACAACATTTTTCAGGTTAAGTTATGTGACTGGAATGGAGATTTAAAGAAGGTACCAGACATAGACATTGCTGATGTTTTTGTATACTTAATTAATATTGGTTGGGATCAAAATCGCCTTCATTCCTACAAAGTAGACAAGGGTTATTTGTTGTATCAGAACAACCATGTTGACAGTGTTCGAATGTGTCCATTAGATTCGGATTATTCTTATGTCATGTGCAATACAACTCCAGAAACCCGTCAATCCGAGGATCCTTATAGGACATGGTTACTGGTGAAGACTGATGGCTATATCATATCAGGTGGCTGCTCCTATGTTAGGTAAGTCCAGCTCTGCTTTATTATTTATAATAGTCATAGTATTTATCATTTAAGTAATGTCAATCCCAAAATTGGAGTAATTATTAACATACTACTTTTTGTCTTTTTAGGGATGATGGTTCTTGCAAGCACTGCACACGGCCCTTTCATTTGCTCTTGCAGCTTTTTGCGATCGCCATAAGGACAGGCATACAAAGGTGGGGACAGATGTGAGGTGTGTTTGGGACAAGCCCCGTAAGGAAAGTAAGCCTTGTCGTGTTAAGGAAATTTGTTTTTCCCACAGGACAGTTCCACTGATGCCAAACAAAGTGGATTACCAACCATGCCCTACACCCACCACTGAGGTTAACAGAGAAGTTGAGAAAGAACTGTATAGGATGTGTCACGGTACAGGTGCTCTTCTCTTACACACATTAGACCCACCCTGAAATGAGGATGAAGATCTTCATGAAAATCCGCCTGATATGATAGATGCTGTGACACACACAATTCAGAGTGGAGAGTCCTTGATAGATTATCTGAGAAATGTGTCTAATTCTGATATTATTCAAGAAGTTGAGCAAATCACTTGTGGTCAGAGTGAAAATGAATTGTGGTACAAATACAGATATGGTAGAATTACATCTTCCTTGTTTTCAAAAGTATGCCACTTTAGAGGGGGGAGTCATGATAATTACATCACACGTGAAATTCTGAATATTAACTCCAATGCCTTAAACACTGATGCAATAAAGTATGGAAGACAGAATGAAATCGTAGCTAAACAATTGTTTTTGACATGTATTCCCATTATCATGTAAATGCCAAAATGAGACCTTGTGGCTTAAACATATCTCAGCAACATCCATTTTTAGGTGCATCACCAGATGCATATTTGTCTTGCAAATGTTGTGGAAAAGGTTTAATTGAGGTTAAATGCTCTTACTCCCATAGAAATGACACACCATATGATGTAGCAAGTGACCGTCATTATCATTTGTATAGAGACACTAATGATGTTGTCAAGCTTAGGGTAGATTCACCATGGTATGTGCAAATTCAAGGACAGCTTGGTATTTGTAATGCTAGATGGTGTGACTTTGTGTTTTATACAGACATGGGTTTTATAAGTGATAGAATTCACTATGATGAATCTTTCTTCAATGAAATTGTTAACAAGTGCAGCACCTTTTTCATAAATTATGTTCATCCTGCACTTCTTGCTAAAATTTAGAATGTAAACAACTGTACTTTGATGCGCTTTAGATTAAGCTGTATCATGTATGGTACACTTTATTTTTTTTGTCTATAAATGGTTGAAATATTATGAAAACTGATAGCAATAAAAACCACACACTCATGATTTTATGTTGTTGACTTATATTTAAAATATGAAAAATGAAATGCAGTAATTTAATACTTTATGTATAATATGGAACATTGATAAATTAACAATATAATTAAATACTTTATGTATAATATCGAACATTGATAAATTAACAATGATGAGACAACATATGTAAAAACAACAACTATAGTTTTCAGGTAACACCAACAATCAAAATAACAAATTGAAAAATATTAAGCATCTTGTTAATTTTTCACAAGAGGTTTAGACAAATTGCATAGAAATGCAGCAACAACAAGAATCTGGCTTGCAATTGGCTTTAAGTTGATTGGTAGGATTCCCGATAAAAGTTTATATGATTTCAAACGTTGTATAGCACGTTCCACATGAATCCGTAGTTTCGCTATCTGTCTTGTTCGCCGAATCTCGCTAGCATTTAACCGTTTCCCTTTTCCCCATCGACATTTATGTGTAAATGGTGGTATGACCAACTTTGCCCTTTGCTCCAGTAGATAGTCTCTTATGATGAAACCCCGATCAGCCATCACCTCATCTCCAGCAGATATCAAATCCAAGAAATCACTATTGGCTGTAATGTACCTGTCAGACACATTGCCGCCCCACAATTCAGACACATAAGAAAATGCACCGGTAGGAGTTATACCAACAAGGCATTTAAATGTATTATGTCCTTTGTAATTGCTGTATGTTTGGCTTTGAGCAGTAGGTGTCCTTGGCTTTTGAATGAATATTTCAGTACAGTCTATGACAACTCTTGTACGGGGGAATGCCTGTTTGAAAGACCTTGGCATATGTTTTCTGATGCTCTGTAGTGATGGCCATTTCAGTTGAGGTCTGAAAACCTGGAACATGTAGTTTATCCATGTACACACTATTTGTGATACTCGTGTCTCTGATACACCAAACAAATCACCAATCAAAAAAGTTGGAACAGAAAGTCTTAGTCGAAAAAAGGGTTAATAAAAACTCGTGGAACTTTGTCAACTTCCTCTTTGGACCTGGTTTTCTGGCTTCAGAGGTTTCATAATTCATGTTTGCTATGCTGTTCTTTCCTGACCAGTACTTGAGTTTGGTGCATACTTTGTCAAGTATTGCTGTAAGCAGAAATAAAATTTTATCCAAAAACAAGCATACAAAATACTGCAAAGTATTCAAATATTGTACTAATCAATATTAGCTGCAATTAAGAAAATACATATTAAGCAGTATTAGGTAAATTTTAAACTATATCTTCAAATTTCTTACCAAACAATCCAAAGAGCATAGTTATGCTAGGCACTCCTAAATATCTTCTGACTGCCGAGTTGGACCGTGTAATTCTATTGACAAACTGCTCCCTGTGGATATGTTCTGTCTCTTTGGTCATAGTTTCCATATGATGTACACTAGACAAAATTGCTAACGCACCACCTAAATTAATTAACATTTTTCTTTTCAAAACTTGTTTATGATGTTTTTGATATATAATTATGTTACTTTAATAAAAAATGAGACATTTAAATGCTTTAACTGATAAATAACAATGTTTACTGAAGCGTAACCACTTCATAGAAGAAATTAAAATCATATCCATACTTTTTTGGTGGAATAAATTTCTAATTTTTTCTTTATGGTTGTGTTCTTTATGTTTGTACTAATTAAAACCTCAGAAAAAAAGTTACAACGTATTCGGCGTTTGACTGTAGAAGAGCGTGCTAAGGCAGCCAGTATGGTGTCTGCAGGGGGTTCCTTTGAAGAAATTTGTGAAAAATTAAAAGAATTCAATGATTATGAATTTCTCTGGTGAAAAATTGTTGAAAATGAATTAACGATCATAAAAATGTTTACAAAAGATATCGACGGCAATAAGTGAGCACCACACAATAATTTCAAGACTGTTCCACAGAATTGGGGCAACCGGAAGTTGGGTGGATTTGGTAGGGACACCAAGGCACTGGATGACTAGTAAGCGATATGGTAGTCAATCAGGGTATATCATTTGATTTTTAAGTGGGAGACTGCTCCCGTAGCAACGTCAAGGACAACGATCGGTAATCACCAACTTCATATTTTGGCAAAAACGGTGCGCAGTGCACGTCGGGAAATTGATTTTCGGACAAGAAGGTCCTTTAAGGGTCTTGACATGACACCAAGACATTTGTCAATCCAACTGTTTTGGAAAAGATGGCATATTTTATATACTAGTACCAATCAGGAAAATGATCAATTCACAACTAAGAATAATAAGTGGTGCGTTAGCAATTTTGTCTAGTGTATATCCTCCATGGTCAGGTCCGTCTGCACAGCAAACTCAACAAAAATCTTCACTGCACCTAGGTTCCACAGACTGTTTGCTGTATACATGGTCATGGTCTATAATAATAATAACTTATGCAATAAGTTTAATTGATATACATGTATACTACAAAAAAGTTAAATTGCATAGAACATTTCAGAATTATGCTAATGAAACATACAATTCATTACACTTACTGCAGTTTCCATAAGAAATGTCCTCAGTCTTGGAGCAAGGTTCCTCGAAACAGTTTTCGTTTGATGTGTGTTCTATGACACACTCATGTGCTATAGGGAGAGGTATATGTACATCAGCATTCCCTTCACATGAAACTGTGATATCCTCCATCTGAAAAAAAATATGCATTGAAATTTCACATATCATCAATTTGGATAATTCTCTAGGTACTAAACTTAATAATGCATTTATATTTTTTTAATATTAAATTTAATATTACATTGTATTACCCAAGATTACACATATGTATGTATATTTTGTTTATTTGATTTCTGATTTCAAACAATTTGTTTCATTGATACACACATAACATATAGCCTCAAGCAATCCTGGCTTCTTAATTATCCTGTATATACATTTTAAAAAATTCATTTTTATATAAATATTCATGTAATGCTTTTTTAATATATTTATTATATGTTTAAGCCTAACTTTTTATGAGTTATGTATATGTCATGCAGAGACAGTTATTTAATATTATGTCTCTGTGTCTGATCATGATACATGTGTATATATATATATATATATACATACATTTTCGATGTAGGAATAAAATCAATTATTTACAATACCGATAAACATTCTATTGGTGTACACTGGGAAGAATGAACATCTGACGTCTCCGCTGCTGTAGCTGAATCCGACGAAGAATTACACCTGGTCTGTTGACGTTTCTCTATAGAGGTTGTAGTTCTGGACTGTTTGACGATTTTATTGCGCGGAAATAAAGTAGGAACGGGGTTTTCTTCTGTTTGACAACCATCTATGAAATGTGAACATACCGAATGGTAGCGTTTTGGATCATACTTCTCATCCCTGAAAACCTGCTGCAACCACCTCTTTCTCAGCTTTGCCTTACGTTTAGCCCCTGGATATGGATAGAACTGCACTCCTCTCATCCACGGATATTTAATTAAATTTGCCTTTTTCCTGCCATCTGATGTGCAACCGGGCACCGAACACCAATGATGACTTGGTTCGTCTTCATTCTTCTCACTTTTTCTCTTTTGGGGCTTGTTTTCGTCTGCCACGTTACGATCCATTTTGTTTCGATGTCAACAAAATATGCCCTGCATTTCAGCATTATCACGTGACAACGGTGTATAAAATCAGAACGAAATCCGCTATATCCCGGTATCTCGGAAGTTCCGTATTCAGTTTGAGGGATTACACAGGTGTCGGATTAGACAGTTTTCACTGTATCCCACTAGTTCTCGAGAAGATTTTACTATTTTCATTATTTTATAACATAACTATCTCTCTAATGAAAGAGTGTGTGACAATTCCAATTTCATTTTTGTCACGTTTGGTGAAAATTGGGGCATTATCCTGTTATTCACTTCGCGAAGCATCTGTTTACATATTGTATACATTTTACAAGGATCCTATGATGCAAAATGATTTTCCGCCTTTGTTGTATAACATTTCTTGCATTACTTTTTAATGTTGATTTAAATTAATTCCACTTCTTATGTTCATCTGCAGTATATACATTTTATTCCGTCAATATACATACATTATGAAAAATCCCCAATATTATACGTATATCACGTGTAATACCGGGTTTTAGGGAACCCGATCTCCTAACAGTACCTAATCATCACACTATATCATTTGCCGATGAAAGATTGCATTAGCCAATCAGATTAAAGTTAACAAGATCATGCACATGTGCTACCTTTTCGGTGTCATGGATTTGTAGAGGTAAGACGCATATTTTTTTTATGTCTGACAAATCTTTTTTAATCTTCGTAAATCGTTACGAAATAAAGTTAAGAAATGCGTTGAAAATAAAATTTATGAAACAAACTGTCACCGTAAAAAGAAATAAAGGCATTTTTAAATCTTGATACAGATATTTAATAACAAACAACAAAGCAACAACAAAATCGTTTTCTGGAGGGCAGCCTTGAAAATTTAGCGTCCTTTCTTCACAATTGGAAGGTATCTTTCCGTCACAACTGGAAATCGTCATCATCAGACCTTATATGCAGATTTTGAGTATAGATTGTATGGCAGGGATCCTGTTCTCTTGCGGGCAGGGGGCCCTTCTCCACAAATGACTTTGAATGACACACGCCCTCCTTTTTTTATGTGTTGATCCTATACGAAAGGAATAATAGGTAAGTTTACATGTAAGGTTATTTTACATTATTTGTTTATTCTAATAAAAATTTCATTTATTCAGTTTAATTCTTTACTGTAAATATATTCGTCCATTTCCATTACCTCTCTTACATGAAGTGTAGAATAAATAATTAAGGATGTTACATGTATTTATAGGTTAACATGCATAAAGAACATTGATTTTTTTTTTAATTTTTCAGTTATAAAATGCATGTATGGTATGAATCTTTTTTAATTTATATTTTGTATTACCTTTCTAAGACGAAGTTTCCTTTCTCCTTTTCTCTGTTTCCCAGCCAAACCTGAAAAAAATTGGAAAAATATATAAGTTGTAATTTTAAAAAGAAATTTGTATATATATTATTAAGAGAAATATAAAGTAATTATATTTGTCACTAAATTTAAGTAAAATTTTCCCGTATTCTTCTTCACATAATAATGTACTAATTTAAATATAATAATTTCTTGTAGGTTCAGCAATATTTTTTTATTATACACACAAGTAAATGAATACCTTTTTTCCTTGACAGACAAGATGTCTTGGAAGGCCCTGCTTCTGAAAGTCTTGATGATGATGCCACATCAGCAACTGCAAGTATATTTTATGTATCATTATCTGTATAAATATATCATTATATACTCTTATTATATGTTTTAATTACAATATGTCAAATACCTGTTTTAGGTGAAGAGTTTGTTAGTGTTTTGTCTTGATCTAAATCCACCAAGAGCTTATCAAGACTAGAATGCCTGCTGCTGCTGTCGCATATGCAATGTGTTCTCGCTGGCCGTTCTGTTCCTTGGAATATCCGAGAAGTCGTCACTGTCCGAAATGACTATGCAGTCCTTGGATGTACCTTCTACACTTGAGCTGTCTATATCTGATTAAGTTTCTGCATCAGTGTTAATTCCCTATAATTTCAAAGCCTTGTTCAATTAATTACATTATTTAAATACTAATATTTTCTTGTTAATATTTTCAGAAACAAACAAATTCTATTCTATATATTAATATTTTAATGTTAAAAATTAAAAAAAAAAATGTACAGAAGTTATGTTGGATATTTATATTTGAATTTGTGTTCTTCCTTGCATAATTTTTTGCAATATTTAAATACTAACATTTTTGTTCAATGTTTACTAATATTTACATTTTATTATTCTGTTAAAATGAAAATAATTTACAAAACCTTTTTTTGGCATCTTCGCTAGCCAAGGGTTTCTGATATGCTACTCTCCTCATAAGCCATTGGCATACGGTGTTAACAAAAGTTGGGATTTTTTTCTCAAGTTGTGATTGGAGTTGATCGACATCGTTCGACCAATCAGCAAATTGTTTTTTGTACATGACGATATTTGCAGTCGGGATATATCTTGACTCTTTAATATCGGGAGTGAAAAACGCAAGTAAACAACGATCCGTAAGATAACATGCCATTCTTGAATAGCTATATGGTGTCATCCAATATCTTAAGCTACATGCTTATAGATAGGTGATTAAGAATCTATACTGAAGATGTAGATTTGCACTTAACATGTTCAAATAACAAATTAACATAACTCAATGCCTTAATCGTGATCACGTGACGAAAACAATCCCGTCTTTTGTCAGCACCGTATGCCAAGGGTTTATGAGGAGCGTAGCGTATCAGAAACCCTTGGCTAGCGAAGATGTTTTTTTGGATGTTTCATGTTTTAGTTATATAATACTTTGACTTTTAGCATAC